CCCTATTGCTAACAGCTGTCCAAAACGGGACAGTTCTACTTTAGGACAATTCCACTTTCGCCTTTTCTGCTTTCGGACAGTTTTCATTCCGTAAATTTTTCAATTTGGAAGTATTTCGATTCAGAAAAATTTCATTTTGCTACTATTTCATTTTGGAAAATGTCCGATCCGTCGTACCACCGATCAAAATGTATACCGCATAAATGTTCGCACCTGTATTTTCCATAAATTGTAATAAACATTTGTATGAAGAATCTTCTGTAATCATAAAACGAAGAATAACTAAAGTGAAACATTTATCATCTGGGTAGTGTTATAAAAAACTCATTTCTGATATGCTTTGAAAGCTCATACGAGTAGGCAGTGAGCTGCCGCAAGATCACAGTTAAATTATATTCTATACAGGAAATTCTACACTAAATACAGAAAATCAACGGGTCGGGGGACATGGTAAAACATGGTAACAGCTATTGCAACAGCTAATAGAATACGGGGGTTTATTATTTGTGTTCTTTAAAAGTTACAGGATATGACTTGGACCTGGAACCATATGGTATGATGAATCGCCAGCTTCATTGTACGGTTCGTACTTTCCAACGTCGATAAACTCTTCCTCGTCTTCGTTTGGAATCTCGAGAGCAGTTTGTAGATTGTCGTGACTTCCAGTTGAAGCGCTCTGCTCATTTTGTTGTTTGAGACGCTGCTCTTCTGCGACTTTGGCTTGAATGTCCATGTACATTTCTTCATGTTTCCGTTGTTGATGCACGTTTCTCTCAATTGCTTGTACGCGATGAACAATGACGGGTGAAATTCCAAGAGCAAAAACTGTACGAGTCAACATGTTAGCTGTATTCTGGTTGACAACTTGATCGATAGCACTTTGTTTCAGGTTGATGGCACTGAGAATGATATCATCGCAGAAATGACTGATGACTCCAGATCCTTGCATTTGAGACCAGAAATTCATTGGGTCTGTAAAAAACGAGACTAAGCAGCCCAAGTTTTGTCAACTGCAAACCATTCTGAAGACAGTTGAGGATATCTCCGTATGGTGAGCACTCGCTCTGAACTCTAATTGATGGTGCTTGTGGTTGCTCATGATGATGGACAGGAGGCTCGGATTCCGGTGGTGAAGGCGGTGCATCAGTGAAGAACTCTTCAAAGAAGCTATCATCTTGCGGCTCTACTTTGACGAACTGTCTAGGTTTGTTCACACTTCCACGCGGACGCCCACGAGCTTTCTTCACATCTGAAACAATATTTTGGTTAGTAATTTTCAAGCCTACTGTATCTTACTTTGCTTCTTATCATTATTTTCGCTCTCCTTCCCAGCAATCTCGTTTTCGATTTCGGTTTTGAGAATCGTAGGGTCCGTCGCACGCTTAATTTTACGAGCTTGCGCAGCTTCATCTGATGGAGCATTCACGTAGTTTCGACTTTGACACTTTCCGCTGCATCTGTTCGGATGATCATAAAAATCGATGGTTAATGCTTCCATGTGAGTTCTGCAAGGAAAACGTTCCTGATAGGAAATTTTCTCAACATTTTTTTAGAATTTTCAGCTCACCTTAAAGAAGATCTTCCAATGCGAATGCTCGCTTTCCAATCTTTTTGGCGTTCTTTATCTCCACGAACAGTAAACTGTTTAGGAGACAGGAGGTCATCTGAAAACAAAATAAAATGAATGTGATATCAAAAAGAATTAAACTGACTTCCGACTTCAATACACGGCTGGTGGATCCCTGGACACATGAACATATTCAAGTGCATTTTTCCATTGACGTTTCCGCAAGAAACAGGAACTGTTGGTGATGCATCTCCTTCAGGGATTGTGATTTGAAGCGGAGTGACTGGTCGGTGGAAGCTCGCATCCGAATGTTGCGAATTCTGCAATCGTTTTTATCTTAGGATATTCAATAAAATTGAAATCTCACCGAGTACATAATTTGATAAACGAGGTTTTTGTCATCCTCACGAACAGGTCCATGCTCAACACCTAGATGAGGGTGAATCAGTGGCGGCGGGTGCTGCTCGGTATGATACTGCTCTCTATTTCTCAATCCATAGCACGAATTATTGAGCTGCTGAGGTGACAGGGATGGAGGTGGGCTCATCGATATCACGTCTTCATCGCACATTTTCGACGTCGTCCGTCCTGGCGATTTACTACGTGTATAGGGTCAGGCGGGCTACAATTGAGCTGTCCACGTTTCACGTGAACCTTTGTTAATTTCCGCGTCATTCCTCTCGTCGAATTTTTACGTGAGCTCACGTAAATGCAACTGAAAAAACACGTTTTACGAAAAAAAGACAATTTTATAGGTCGCAAAGAAGGAATTAACAGAAATATGATTTTACAATTAGTCAAATAAAAACGTTGGTCAGTGAGATGGCATTTGAAGACCTGGAAAGCAATTTTCAATCATCTGAACTTAATTCATTCGGGAAAAGAAAGTCTCTGCAAAGTTAATTCAAATAGTAACTCCACTTAGAAAACAAAAAAGTTGAATACATTTATCCCCAGTGGTGACTAATTACTCACGCCGACTTGATAACAAAACTATATTTTGAAACTCGAAAAAAAGTTTGAAACTCGCGGCGTCAAACGATGTGTATTTCGCGTGAAATCAAATGCATACAGTAGGCGTTTCAGACATGAATTCATATTACCACTACAGTAACCTGAATCGCGTGTTCAATTTGTTGTGAAACTTGAATGTTCTGGTATTATTATGCTTGTATAAAAAATCGGAGCTGTGGATAAGAAAAGCTTGTGGGCGTGGCCAACGGTTCCCGTGGTGAAACCACCGTAACCTAAAGTTTTCGTTTCTTTTTTCTCGAATACTATTGCTTTCCGACAATTTGTATGTTGAAAACCTCCAAAAAAGTCGGAAAATGAAACTTTTCTACATCTAAAGAATTTTCGGAAAACACATGAAAATCGAGAATTTTTTTTTGGTAACTAAGGTAGTTCCTGGTGGCCATGGCCGGGGACACCATGTTTTCTCTTCCATAGCTCCGATTTTTGCATACCAGCATAATACATGATTGACGTTTTTTACATCGACTACAGTCCGAGCATGAAGCTGACAAGTTTAGTTTTTGGTCCAATACAACTCCACCCAGAATGAAACTACTACACTATCAAAAAATTTAATATGATAGTCTCTTTTTTTGTTTTTGATCAAATAGAAAGTTGGTATCGTAAAAGCAAAGCATGTTTTGTTTTCAAGTTTCAACTTGCTCGGTGTTACAAAATCGTTTTGATATCAGTCTGATAAAAAAGATACTCCAAACCAAACCCCAATGCCCAACAATACTTTCTTCATTCCTTATTACAGACAAGTTCCCAAGTTTTCTCGACATGATCACCAGCTATATTAGGGCAAATTCCAAAATGCTGATAAGCCCTCATTTCCCCTATCAGACACTATTTACACTACCTCTATATATTTGCCATATAATATTGTAACCTTCGTTTTGAAACCTAATGAATCATAATACATTTGGTGTGTTGTTGGAGTCCCTTTTTGTCCGGCCCACCTCATTTTGTGTCCCTCTTTTCGGCCCCCGCCAGACAATATGTTACCCTATTCAATTCGTTCATCTCTTGCCCTTATCGGGTATTGCTCTGAAAAGAGTGCGAGAGTGAGACACCTCACTTATCATAAATTGCGGCGAGACACTGCTCTGATTGCAAGACTGTCACTGTGCTCGAGGGACACACGTCTCAAAATTTTCAATTGGCTCTTTGTGCCCGTTTCTAGTGAATGACTTACAAAAATCATTCAGTTCCGGTACAAAGAAAGTTTCTTAAAGTTACAGTATCCCAATCAGAACTCTCATCAAATATTTCAAAATTTGTATTTCATGTTCACAACAATGTTCTATGAAAACCAATTATTCAGATAGTCAACATCGAACCCCTTTTTCAATGTCAAAACAAAACTTTGGAAATCTAGCAAGAGATTTGAAAACAGGTCAACACCAATTACCACGCGAGCTCACAACAGATCATTCGAAAACTTTTTGTTTTTTTTGGATAAGTAGGGTTACTGTAGGTCTTCTAACTATCATAATCTGACTTCCACATACCATAAAATCTGTAATATAATGGCTCCTAACTTTTAACTTTGAGCTAATTTTTCTCGGTTCTCGTCAAAGATATAAAAAAGTGATCAATTGATAAAATGTTGATTTTTTATCAAAAATAATATTTCTGTGGTTATTTTTCTTTAAAAGTTTCGGGCCTAAGTAACCGATGAAAATCATAATGAAACCTTGAAAAGATCATACTTGTAAAATTCCGGGCCGGGCCTGAGGAAATTTTCAAGGCCCGGGCCCGGTAGCAAAAATTTTGTCATTTTGAGTCAAATTTTGAGCTCTCAATACAATTTTCTCCATTATTTTTTGTGTTTTTGGATTGTTTGTCTGTTTGATAAAAAAATATCAACAAAACTCGAAAAAAAATTTTTGATCGAAAAAAATCACATAAGGGTCCCCCCTTATGTGTTTTTTGAAATTTTCAAAACTTGTGGAATGACAGGCCCGCCAGGCCGGGCCTCCGAAATTCGGGAAAAAGCCCGGCCCGGCCCGGCCCGTTACAAGTATGGAAAAGATGTAATCCATTGAGTATCAAGCAGATAACATCCATAGAAGGAATAGGATTTCCAACAATTAGCATTAGAAAATTCACGATCCTAGCCACCTCCCCTTGTAGCTGATATATCTGCACTGCTCTAATTTTTTTTGGTCATTTGAATTTTCAAACCGCGGCAAGAAAATGATTCCAAAGATCACAAATCAAACCGCTTTGCAAGAGTGTCTCTAGGGATAACATTCGAATACCTTTTAACCATGGCGAATCACATATTTTGCTAATTAATGACACATAAATAAGCTATGAATGATTCAAGTTCCTCTTCTTCATATTTCAACTTTTTTTTCTTAATCATTCAGATCTTATTTTCCAGAAATCAGATGGGAATGACGAGTTTATCAGCAAACTTGAAACGAAAACCATGTGCCATCGACAATCTCCTGGAGGTATGTTCTTATTTAACGGCAACATTTCTCCTTTCAGTGAATGCTTCTTGCTCTTAAAAATGTGGAGAATGGGTACCGCTTTGATGTGTTTTGTATTAGGTCATCCTTTTTTGTAACCATATTTGCTCATGTATGTCATAATATAGAGAGAGAAACGCGGTGAAACGGTTTGTTGAATTGACACATAACTTGACAGGTTTACGGTAACTTTGGTTGTTAAAAAAACAGGAACTTTATGGTAAACATGTTTTGACAAATTTGCCTTTAGGAGGAAGTGAGAAAAATAGTTGATTATGGAACACTCTCTCTTTCTAATTTCAATTTAGGGCATAACTTCCCGAACTAAAGTTTGTACTAGCATAACATTTCAGTAACACGATATACTGAGTTCAAATTTGGAGTGCAGTAATTAAAGTTCATCAGTAAACTGAGAAAGTTTCAAATTATTTGATCAACTTTGAACTGAGTTCTCGCTTGTCAAAGTTGCTTCATCTCATGAAAATCACAAGAAACATTACGTCGTTCATGTTTGGGCAATCATAACAATAGCTAGACTTGAGGAATCGCTTCGAAAATTTCAGTAGCTTTGAATCAAACGTAAAATTATATTTCTACCAATTTTTGATCTTCCAAAATACTTGTGTCCAAAGATACACCTGTTTTTATCAGTCCGGGTAATTGTACGCCACCCTGTACAGTACCGATCACAAATTTATTTATGCGAAAGTTTAAGGGTCTGAAAGAAAAAGGGATTTTCAGCTTTCCTAACTTGTTACATTCCCACTGAGCACATATAAAGTTCATAAACTTTTGATTAGTATTGTATTTGGATTGTGCCGACATTTATTTTAACCTTCCAATCACCATTTCGAAACAGCTTCTAGAATTCCTGTTTTATTGAAAGTTCAGTACACAAAATGGGTTCTTTATCATCGTTTTGGGCTGAAATCAAAGAGTTCAAAAAATCAAATGCTCTTTATTTTTCTTCAAGAATCCTTTTCAAAGAAGTTAAATATTTTATGAGATAGTTGGACTTTAGTAACCACAATCTGCATGATGTGGTACCGTAATCCGACTTAAGGAAACCTTCAAGTTCTTAGAAATCACAAGATTACAAGTAGTTCTTTCACAATCAGTTGATGACAATTGGTATTTGCTTAAGCTGACTCACAGTTTTGGATGTTGTGTTCTATTTTTTTCCACATAGTTACCGGAAGTTCCGAGTTCATCTAACCAAAGTTTCAGTTTCAATTAAGACCACATGTATCATTGATCAATTCCCCAATTCTCTTCAACTGACCACTCCTCCTTTCTCCTCGCTCTCCATTGTCTACTGACCTCCTTTCCTCCGCTATCACTCGATTTGTCTGCATTTTCAGGCGAAACGCTCGCTCAACTTGTCGCAAATGCAACAAGAATTGGCGTCACTATGCGATAAGAAATTGGAATTTCTTCGAGCACAGAAAAGGGCATCACTATTTGTGAACAGCCGTCGAATCGGTGCTCCGAGTGTTATGATTGAGTGAGTGAACAGATAAAAATGGTCTGGAAATGAAAACACGCGTATTTAGGTTTCCAAACTTGTTCAAGAAAGCGTGCTCATTGCCATTGGAAGATTTAGAAGAACAAAAACGATTGATCGAGGACATTGTGAAGGAATCTATTGTGATTGAATGGCCAAGAGTATTCCCAGGAGTTTATTCAGATCAACCAGAGACGGAACTTGATTTTGCACCACTTATTCACAGAGCAAGAAATGTGGTCAAGTGTAGAACCAGCCATCCTACTATGCGTGTCAAGTACGTACCTTGGAAAATTTGGATTATAGCTTATCGTACTGATAGTCAGAAACATTTGTTGTTTCTTTTTCAAAAATCAAGGCTTGTAAGGGACTCGTTCTATTGTGAAAAGTTCTCATGTATTTGTGCAGAAGGCCTACAGTAATACAGTATTTTTGTTTAGAATTTGAAGTTTGAGTTGTTGACATGAAGAAAAAGTTGGAATTCTAAAAGTCTAATTGCAGGTCTTACGGTAAAACCTGTCATAGAAAGCCCCCCCCCCAAGCTTTGGTTTACCATTTTCCAATCCGTAACAAATCGAGAAATGTCCAATGTTTTCATCGCAGAAACGGATGAGCATTGAAGAGTTTCTTTCGATGTATGCGAATGAAGTTGCGGCTTTTTGAGTAGAGCAAAATGTGATGAATCTAAAAATTTAAAAATTATCTAATCAACCGAAAACTCTGAAAAATACCCTTTATTAAAGAGACTAATGACAGTTTGATAATCTTCGCATGCTGCCATTTGTTTCTTGGTTTTCGAAGATTTCTTGTCACAAGCGGGAGATGGACACAATTTATGACCCACATCCTGAATCATTTCACAAGATTTATGCAACCATTGCCAGGTGGTATGAGCTAATTCTGTGCTCATGTCAAGAACAGATATGCACTTTTCAAGAATGAATTCTT